TTTGGGTCACCTTGAGCCAAAATGCCACGTGTGGCTCAAGGTCAGCTTGCAATGAAGACTGCTCACCCAAGCCTGCCAAACACAAAGCAGTTTTAATCAGCGCGCTTTCGTTTTGAAATGCTGGTAGCAGGTAGCAGATTCCGTGCCCTACGCATTGGAATCCGCCAGTTGTTCACTTTATCCCTGGCAGAGCTACAGTCACCGACATGGTGGAAACCTGGGCTACGTTGGATTCTAGCTGCTCCAGACCGCGACTAATCACAAGCCCAGCGCTGCTCCGTATTCAGACATGTCGTGCAACATGTGCAACTAAAGGCTTCGGACGCCGGGCTTCGAGGCTGACTTTGGGACTTTGGGGAATCTGCTGCTTGCTGACAGTCTTGCCGATGCCAATTGCGTGAAGAGCTCGGGCAGTGGCAGACGATGTGCATCGATTGCCCATCGTCCTTGGCACCAACACATCGGCAGGACAGTCTTCGGCGATGCCGCGTATTGGGCCTCAAACCTGATGGCAAGTACGGAGGCCCCAGCACCCCAGTTCCTTCCAGCGAGGCCAGGACGGGGCATGGCAGAGGATCAATCCCAGCAGGACCAACTCCCCAGCTGTCACCGCACGCCAGAACGGTCTCTAACCCATCGCGGGTGCAGGTGCCTAGATGCCACATGATGCCACGGCTTCAAGAAGTCTTGCATTTGCACTTTTCAAGCATCAGATGCTCTACACACAATTACCACGAGAGGGCCCGTCGCAAACAACCATACATGATTAAAGCACACGTATGAATCATAAACGTACAAGTCCTGCACGCGAAATCTGTAGTTCGCTCGGCCAAACGGCCCACCACAAAGACTCAACTGCCTTGTGACATCAGAGAATGTGCTACTCTTGACCGTTGTCCAACACCGACCATAAGGTTCATGCCGCATGCCGGCAGCTACAGTCCACCGAGGCTGCAATTGACCATTCCCCGAGGACGTGGCACTCCGGGGAGACACCGGCAGCTCATCGGCAATGTCCACGACAGACAGTGTCTCCTGGCGTTTAAATCTACACGTGGGAATGGGCTACCCCGTAGTTGCGTCTTCCTTGAGTTTAGGCATGGGCAACTGGCAGCCCTCAGAGCCTCTGCTGCATCGAACCCTCGAGCCATGCTGACAGTCTCAGATTGGGCACCTGAGCAGACTTCTAAGGCTACAAGAGTCGCGCCTGCCAGTGCAGCGTGCAGCTTTGACAAATGCTTTGACAATTGTTGCGGGACCGAGTTCGCTGCTATTTGGCGCACTTGCGCTTTCCACCGACTGTGCATCAAACAGCTCCTGAGAACCACACTAACATTGGCGTCAGTGGTGCTCCCTAATTTGTCAGCCTGGCCCTAGCTTCACTCTCTCCGAATGGGTGCTCCTGGATTGAAGCCTCCAGACTTCCAGCCTGCCAGGACTTGGAATATGAGGAATGTGCGTTGTTTGTGGTCGCACCTGTGAGTTTAGCGCTCCGAAAATCAACATGGGATTGCTACGTACGAGAAAAAGCTAGCGTTGCCTGTTATATACTACAAGATAATGGAAAAGCACTTGGGCGAGGAACGCCACCCGACCGTCGAGGAAAAGAAGTTGAAATCCACGTGGACTTGGGATGATTAGGATACCCCTCCCCGCTAGAGTTCAACATAGTTCAACTGAGTGGTTTATTGTGCTTGTGAAGAAGCCCTCGGAGCACCATCTCGTGGCATCTCCCGGTGCCCTACCATGCGATTGTTTTCAACAAGACCTGGAAAGCCGAACACTCCTGCGTTTTCACAGCAACTGAATCGCGTGACGACTTCGACTTGCCATGTCTCGCAACATGCATGAAAGCATCTGGGAAGCGCGAACACAGCACTTCCAAGACATAGTTCCGGGCTCCAATGCGGATATCAATGATATCAAATGATATCAATCAACATGGCTCGTTTCGGAGTGTTGCTGAGGTGGCCATGCCTCTACTACAACACCAGCAAGTCAAGTGCAAGACCCAGGGCCTGCAGGGAAGTGTGTCCAGGCCTCAAACAAGCAGATCCATGCGTGCACACGCATACGCACACACTTGCGCACACACTGGGGCTTGCAGTGACTGCGCTGGCATTGCATCGCAGACTCGGACCGAAGACTCCCAGTCATGAAAGCCTTTTGGATCAACGATCACCGAGAAACCCGCCGAATTGGTTCAGGTGGCACTGCACCTACTTACTCCATAATGCGCAAGGCCAGCGACTGCCTCTCCTAGGTGCAGTACAAACTACAGTCATACCGGACACAGTTCGGCTCCAAACCAGCTTACATTTTGCTGCTGTTCAGCGGTTGCCCATGGCCAAAGCTTCCGCACAGGAAACCTCCTCTCATCAGACGGATTTTCACAGGTCGTCGATGCAGAGTCTGATTGATTGCCGGGTTTCTGTTGCGCGAGCCCGAAAACACAACACAGCAGAGATGTGCCTGTAGGGTTGCGACCGATCCCGTGAGGCGCTAGCCGGCGATTCAACCGACGCCTGCATTCAACTCGCAACTCGCAAAATCATATTGATCACATTGGTAGCATGTGCGTAGAGTAGAGAACAGCTGTCACAAAAGCTCCGCGAAAAGCATACTGAGCCTCCTGCCCCAGCACTGTACCCACTGCATGCAGAACTGCGATGGCTCTGAACGAGCCTTGCGCAGCAGGGACTCACCGGTCAAATCCAGACACGGAAAAAAGCTTACAGAACACTCTCTTCGAACGACACTGGCGATCATCTCAATTCCTAAGCACCTCAGGGGATCCCATTCTGTGGAGGAACGAAGACACGACGGATGTAGGAACAGTGGCAAGCGCAAACCATCGGGATGCGGAGGTGAATGGCTAATTAGGGCAGCTGTGCATCCGAAGGTACTCTGGCCAATCCACGCTGGAAAGGCTAGGCTGCAGCTGCTGTGGCTGCCGGAGAGAATCTATCTGAACCTGCGAGGATGTTAGCAGGATGCGCCTATTCTGTCGAGGAGTGCAGAAGGTGTCAAGCCCAATGTGGGTGCCACAGGAATCCACAAGGCAAAGCCAGCGACCCTGGGCGCCACCGTTGGCGGAAGCAGAGCAGTGTCCTGCCATCGGCACTGAACTTGGTTTGCCGCGTAGAAGCGCAGGTTGAAGGCTTTTGGTTCGAGTGCCTCTTCAGATGGGACAGTGCTGTCGCTGTCGCTGCACGCATCATCTCTGTACCTGACACGGGACCGCAACCTGCCACAGCTTGACTTCAACAGCGGCAACGCGCACGTGTCGATGTAGACGGTGTTCGCAAGCAGTGCGGAGAGGCCACCAGCCTCCAGACCGATCTTTGACTTTAACTGGAGAAAACTTAGGCCCGATATGTGGATTTAGGAGCTCTGGCAGCTCCTCCAACAACGGGCTGTGTCTCTTCCCCATCTGCCAACTTTAGGTGATGTACAACATCAAGAGGCAATCTGGCGTGGCCAATTGGGAGCGTGGCTGAACAGCCCTTAAACCTGTTCAGAATGGTGCTAGGAGCCTGAGCACAGGGAATCTCGGATTTCTGAAGAAATCTGAAGAAATCAGTTCAATAGACTCCACACATCCAAGCCTGTTTTAGCTATGGTGTATGTTGGAAACATGTCGGAACTTGGGTGGCTGTGACAGGCCAAGTCAGGCACAGTCAGGCGAGTGTCAAGTTCCAGCGTGTGAGACACCGTCCGCCTTTCGATTGCGTTCGTGCTCTTTCAGTTCGTCTCTTACAACGCGAGATCTCCCAGGTCTCTGTCAGTGTCTGAAGAGTCTGTAGACTACAGCGGCTCGCCCACCTCGGAGTTTTCCGAGTCCTGCAAGCAAAAAGTATGGATGGACAGTATGGACGAGAACATGAGTACAGGAGAGCAATTGCGAATGCCTGAAAACGAGACAAGGATCTCTGGCTCAACTGCACAGTTTGTTAAATGCCCCGAATGATGAGTTGGCTCGCCGTTGCTTCTTCGGTAGCTTTTCCTTCCCCTTGTGAGGATGAAGCCCCATCCCGACATGGGAAGCTTCCGGGCAACGGCAGTCCTCTGCGGAAACGAGGGCCCGAAGAACACCTGCAGAAAAGTCGCCGGGCGGTCAGAATGCAATACACACGTCCCGTGATGCTGGCAGCAGGTCCCTCAGTGCCGTGCTATCCAGGTCCAGGCCGTCTATGACGTCTAGGTTCTGAGGACTACCTCAAGGTGGCTGCAAAACAATGGTATCAAGAGCTCCCACTCGACATGACTGGAAAAATGCACAGCGATGCTCTTGGCGCAAAGCTCACAGAGCTCTCGCTGCATTCCGGGCCGAGGATGTCGAGCCTCAGACTCAGGACATGCGAAATTAGGGAGCATGCTCGGCCTTCAATAAAACGTTCCTAGCCTACGAATTTCATGGCTTGCAAGCGAGCTCTGGACGTTTGACAGGTCGTGTTGGAATAGCCGCGACCTTCCCGGAAGTGTGTCGAGGACTCACCTGAAGTCTGAAGGTCCGCACCCAACAACGGAGCTTACTGCACATCGCTCCAAAAAAGGCTAACACAAATTTTCATGCGACAGTACTTCGGCCGGCCGAGGTCGCTGATACATGTGCTCGTTCAACTCTTATACTGACGCTCATTGGGCTGGCATTGGCTCATAAGAGTTACCTGTTGTGCTGCCTCTTGCTTTCTTGCTTATGTTCATCCGGATCTAGTGCATAGGAGAGCAATAGAGCATCAGCTGTCGAGGGGCAGTGGCATAACACAACATGAACCCCTCAAGGCACGAACAGTCGCGCAAGTCAACCACTTCCTGACAGTGAGAAGTTCAATACTGAGGACTAGAGCAAAAACACTTCCAGAGGCGAATGCATGAGTGATCCCCAAATTGTCACCGCTTTCAAAGTCCTCCACATCGTCAAGCTCCTTCCTGCACAACTGCCAGGCCTGCGCCCAACGTGTAGTTGCACACAGGAGTATAGCAGCACCGAAGAACAGATGGAGGAAGACTACACGAAGCGGCGCTGAGAATGCGAAATGCACAGATCGAGTTGGACAAAATCGGACTTCTCAAAACGTTGCCCATGTTCGCTTCAAACTTTTGTTCACGCAGACTAGAGCATTCATGCTTCTCCGTCTCTGCCTCTACGATACATTTGCCCGAGCCTCGTCCAAGTAGCTCTCCGCGTCCATGAAGGCTCGCGGGAGCTACGAACACTCCACCCAAATGATAACATTGAGTCGTGGGCCATCTGCTTAATGAACGTAGTTCTGGCATGCGTCAGCACATCTACTCTACGCGAGACAGCTTCAGCGGTGGGCTACATGTATCTAACTGAAGAAGCACTTTGTCTCCGCTTCTCCCATGGTTCTTACACATTGCATGCTTCCTGCAATCTCCCAACACTGGCAGCCGCGGGTCATCTGTGGACATCCATGAACCATAGCTGCCAATTAGGTGTCGGCTGCTCGGGACCCTCTGGCATGCTCTGGCAGCCTGCGGTACAGCAGCGGGACAGCAATTACCTAGCAAAGACATGATGTGGATGCCGTGCTGCGAGTAACTCATCGAAAGACTCTGCATGTTCTAGATGAGCGGCTGCAGGTGCGCAGAAGCCTTTGCTGAGCTCTGTGGCTGCGCAGGCAAATTAATTCGGATGCTGCCTTGCAATGTTTACTATGACTACAACCTTGGGCATCTTGGGTACTCGGTACGGTGCAATGCTGCAGACAGGCACCAAGCCTTGCCGTAATCTTTTCTGCGCAGATGAAGTTAGCTTCTCTTGTCACTGCATGTGGCAGCAGCCGTGAAGCTTGGAATCATCCAAGATGCTCCAGTCTGTCGATGCCTCCAATGCAGCGCCCAAGCGGTGTCCGCTCCTGACTTCAGATTCAGCGTTCGCCAGCTCTCCGGGATGACACAGAAGTCTCCGTCGTCCTGCACCGCTGCTCTGCTTCATGCCCGTACTTCAAACCTTCATGTCATGGGTGTTTGGTGCCCGGGGCCTGGGGACATGTTCATCAAGCTCAGAATCTTCGTCGAGTGACCCTGTTTTATATGCAAGAAAGGTCCCAGGCCAAAACCATTGACCCACAACATCCCACAACACATCTAACTCATCTAGCACTGAGCCCGAACCCTTCTACATGGTCCCGTGTGCAGCCTCTTGCTGGTGCTTAACACATGAAATGCACTCGTTGTCGCGGGAACCACCGACTGTTCCGGTCCTTGTTCCCAGACATGAACGTTTCCTCTTATGGCTCAAGCCGGTGTTGTCGAGATGCGAGACCTGCCCGAGAGAAAAACAGCAAAAACCTCATCACTCGGCTTTGGTCCATGCTACATTCCGATCTAACATGCCCGGTGACAAAGATACAGGCACGGTCCTGATGCGGGACCTAAGGAACATCGCCGCCACACCGTTGTGCTGCTTCATGTCTCTTCATGTCTCATCGACTAGTCTGCTACTGAATTGCGTCTGGATGTTGTCGACATGAAGAAACGCCTCTTCATCTTTGCCGCCATCTCCCGCACTGCCTTGATGCCATCCTTGGCAGCTTCCTGATTCAGGTTAACGCTGCACCCAACAGTTGCAGACACGGAGTCGATGTGGTCTTCTGAAACATCATCCCTCGGCATGGATGCCCCTGGCCTCCATTTTGTCTGCATCCTCCTGTGCTTGGCCTCTGTCGACTCGGCAAGGACCGCCTCAGAGCAAGATGGAAGCTAAGGCCAGGATAGGCTAGGCAATGCCGATGCTAAGCCTTGAGACTTGCGGCATTAGCGCACTCTGCTGCTCCTACTGCTCCCTAGCGTGCGTCGTCCTGCCGTCGAAATTGAGGCCCTTGCGGATGCACATCGTTCTTTGACGGCCTGCACCGTGCCCGCATGCACCCGATTCACGCCAGGGTCTGCTCGGCGCAAGATGGCGCAAGGAGCAACCGAGCACCTCCGTCCTGGAAGGCCCGTGCCGGCTACCCGGCTATCCAAAACAGTTCGAAGCAGTTCGGCCTGCAGCCGCAGCGTCAAGGCCCAAATAGACCTGAACCAACCGGCGTTTCGTCCAGGAGCATATCTGGGCGTAATCCCTGAGAAAGCTGTTGTGCGATCTTTGGGTTTCGGCCCAGGCTGGACGTTCTCAAGCGGCGTGCCCACAACAGGAAGCTTGCAGCATGCTGAAAGGCTACTCTGCGGTTCCAGTTACCTGGTGGGGGGGACAGCGCTGGCAGGTGCGGGCAGCTGGCCTCCGCTTGGAAGGTGGGTTCCTCGAGCAGAGATGGGTTGTGACTGCTAGCTGCTAGCATATATGGTTATAAGTTATAAGCTATAACGAACTCAACATCTCACCATATCTCTCCAGCATATCTAGCATTAGCAGTAGCAAGCTCATCTGTACAGTTGTGGGTAGCTGCCAGTCTGTTCTTCACGGGAACGCTCAAGCCGCTCGACATCGCTCGACCCTTGCATCTCTTTCCAGGCCCTCCGACCCCGCTGTGTCGAGTGCGGGCATCCACCACCTTGGCCTCCACGGACTCGATGCCGCCCCTGTGCAAAAGTTCTTGCAAGCCGAACAGATTAGCTGAGGGATTCGAAACCGTCTTGCTTGCGCCATCTCTCTGAAAGAGCTAGGGTGGCTGCACATGTCTGTGTCAAGGACTATGTCACTATGTACATTTTGATAGACATCAAAAAGAGAAGCAGGCTGAAACCATCGCTACCAAGTGCTACGATGATGTCTCCTGCGCACATCTTCAAGTCACCTCTCACCAACCGTCTGTCGGATTCTGTCGGAAAGCTACTCCCTGTCGATGGTCTGTGAGCAAGGCCCAGGTGTGATGACCGGACGCGTCTTTCGATCTTCTGCACTGCGAGACCTGTGAAGGAATACGTGGAAGGAGTGATGTTGTGACATGTTGCGATCTCACTGCACATCTCTTACGACGTCTTACGACTTATGTCACCTCGACGGAGAGGCTGCCCGTCCTCGCGGCGACCTGCCGAAATGGGCACCGATTCTACGAGTGCGGCGTGTTCACACGGATAGCAGCGTGTTGTCTTGACTGTGTAGCAACTATTCCATGATCTGCCATGATTTTGTCACCATGCGCGTGCAACTGAAAACACCAACGACGTCGACGTCTGGAAGACCTCCCACAGGCCTCCCTGCAAACGAGGCTGTGCAAACCCCAGCTCGCCTTTGGCGCGACGCTGAGCGCCGCGGAGGCGGAGAACGGCTGTCCCGGTGACCTCTGTGACGGGCGAGGTGCTTCTGAGAAGGTGGTGGACGTCGGCCTGCTTGGAAACCTATGAGAACTGTCGCTGTGCTCAAAGTGTCGAAGCTCGACAGAATCGTTCCGTCCGCTCTTGCGAATTTTCGAGCTCGAATCTCCGCTGTCTGTCCGCTGGCCTGCTAGCCGCTGTGAAGTACCCGTCAGCATCGTCATATCGAGATATGGACAAGCTTCTAGGAGTTTTTAGGAGTGGGTATGCTTTTGGAACGGTGTGCTTGCAAAGGCTGTTGAAAAGACCTCTGGAGGGATTTCCATATTCTCATGGCGAGCAGGTATAATGAGATTTTGTGTTTTCCTGCCAGTTAGCCCAAGATGCTGCAACAAAACAGCATTGCGCGGAGATCATACTGTTTAAAAATTCAAGAAGGAAAACCCTAATTTCGTTGATCTGATTGTTGGGAGTGGAGACAATGTTGGTTTGTTGCCGCATTTCGGCAGTGTTAACTGTAGTGCTAACTGAGGTTAACGGAGTGTTAACTGTGCAAACATAGAAAACGCTTATGTGCCATGTTGCCATCCAGAGCCGCACTAGGCATTTGGTCGGAACTGTTGCCCTAACAGGGGTCCTTTGGGTTTTCTGAGGAAATCTTGCACCACCCATATGCTGAATCATGGCACCGCCCATCACCAGGACCCCGCACCCCATGCCATGTTTAATATTGACGATAGTATGCCATATGGCTGGTGCAAGATTTTTGTCAGTGCAACCCACGGCCTTCCCAGGACTGGACATCAATAATTACCAAACAAGGGGCGCGGGGTGCGCACGAGTCTCCCTGTGTAAGGATGTGTAAGGGCCAAGCGGCGTGCGGAGCGTGACCTCCGGTTGCATCTGACTCTTGGCTCAAACTTTATGTGCAATATTCATAATATTCTACAATGCGTTCACCTGCAACTTCTCGCATGCAGCTTGCGCGACCCTCAATCTAGCCCACACAAGGACCTCCTTCGCCGCGAATCAGATGGCCTGCGGGCACAAGCACTCATGAGCTTCTTCCCGGAAAGATGCAATGGCAGCATCCAAAATACTCAAGAGAGTTCAATAATGTGTTTGCACAAACCACGGAAGCAAGCCCGGAACATGCCCGCACCGCCAAGAACAAGTCCATGCAGAATCGAACCGATATTATAGTCCCTTCTGCATCCCAGCCCAGCTCATGATGCTAGCCGCTGCCAGCCCCTTTGAGGGCAGAGTTTGGGGCATGGGTAAGCGATCTTGCGAGAAGATGCTGGCCAAAAAACATATGGCGTCGGACTGGCTTGACCGAGTAGGAACCCTGCAGCAGATCCAAATGCGGATTGGCCCAGCACACATCACCCAAAGCCCGTCCGATCCTACTGACATGGTCGTTGCCACTGTTTGCAGCCCATGACATGCAAAAAGAAATGCTGAACTGAACTGGCCTTCGTCGACGTGAAGGCGAGAAAGACGGCATGAGAAATGCTGGAGCTCAACCCTAACAATATGCTCTTACTACAGTATTGTTGACATGTTTGGTGCAACTGGACAGCTTGGGCAAACACAGACGCGAAAGTGCGTCCAAACAAGCGACACTTTCACTTCTTCGTATTGCAGAAGCTGACTGGCTGCACTCGATGACATGAACTTAACTTGGCTGGCGCCATAATGAGCCAAAAATTCAGAAAGTAATGCGTCGGCGCTTCACTGAAGATGTTCAAGATCTCGGAAAACTCCGCATATAGCCCTTTTGCTTCGCCATTGAAACTCCGGGCGATTGCAAGCTCAAGGGGCTTCCCGCATGCTCTGCCACGTGAGAGCACTTGCGAATCTTCATCTTCTGGGCGAAACAGCAGAGCCCCTTGAGCTGATTTAGAGAAGGCTTTTTTGCTATTGTGACGGCCATGTGAGAGTGAGAAGCACTCGACTCCAAAAACTTCCACTTCCTACGATGTCAAGGCCATGGCTATGGCCACCCTCTTACGACACATCGCGTGCCCTCCGCGACTCCTCCCATGGCATCAACACCTAACTACAGTTCCAGCATCCTGGATTCGTTGGCTCCTCGAAGCGGATGATACCTCGCATGACCCGGCAGCAGAGCGCAAGAGACGACAGCCCAGCTGAGTCCCTCACTCAGCCTTGCAGCTTCTGAAGCTTCTTCCTTTCAGAAGAAGAAGCGAGATCTCAAAGCCAAGCGAGGTTGGGGCCCGGGCTCTCCAAGGCTGGCTTCAAGGGTGAGGCCCAGCTCCTGCCAAGGAATTCCGAAAACTCGATCCGACGTTCTCCGACTGAACGATGCGAAGGACTTCGAGTTTTCATCTTCGTCCTTGGCCGAGGCTATAGCCTTCTCCAGCTCCTCTGCGGAGGTAGCCATGCGGAGAGACGTCTCAGCCAACACAGGATCACATCAGATCAGAACATGGCCCGAGAATGTGTCTGAGTGCGCCACTCGCGTTTGCTGCTCTTGCTCTTCCTTCTTCTGCCGCTCCTTTGCCTCGAAAGTCTCCTGAAAGGGGAGGCTCTCTTCTGTGATGTCGACAAGGGGACCGCGGACCGCGCCTCCACTCGTGGAGGCCGAGGCGGCAGCTCCTCCCAAGGCCTCGTACCTCACAGTCACCGGACCCGCGAGGGATCAGATTGCAGGCATGCGGCAAAGACTCGGTATCTTTTGTTTCGGCTTGGGTGCTGTCTACGCAGTACAACTCTGCAACGTATCCAAACAGTTAAACAGATCATTCCGACGTCTCTGCCCTACATTCGCCCATGCCTCGTCCGCCACGGCCTGTCATCTGAGTCTTGATAGGAGGTCTGAAAGCTTGCACATGCTTGCACATCGCGGCAACCCGGGTCTTTGCTCAACGCAGACAGCTGCTACGAATTTCACTAGCCACTAGCCTAGCAATCGAATCAGAAAGCTGGTTGGCATTGCCGGCTCGAAAACGCACTCAACCCTAAACGGGTGCCGCAAACGTCAGAACACGCAGCTGCCTGTGCAACTGCAAGGTTCGCTATGGATCACCGTGCAGCTTGTCAGAAAGCCCAATGGCGGCAGATGTGTGCGCAAAAGAGCTATATAAACAAGTCATTCTGCACGACAGTCGCCACCTTATCTACCTTAGGCGACTTCTGGCATGGGGGGAGGGGGGCCTCCCTCCCACCTTTGCTGTTGCTAACTGACCAGATAACGATCCGCATTCGTTTTGACCTGGTGGCCTCACTGGGGTTCACGACAACTCCCGCAACCTCCACAGAGCTAACTAACCTGCGTGAGTTTTTGATAGGGGCTGAGGGCAAGCAGCAATGGTCACAGCATGCTGCAAAGTACCGACCATGCTGAACTTGTTTCGTAACTGCCCAGCGTAGCCAGGAACCATCAAACACATGGCAGTGAAGCGACGCTCCGGCTTGTCAAACTTCTCGTAGCCTCTTAGCAGTAGCTATGTTACGAACAGTGTCAACAGCATCAGAACGTACGATTGCACACAGCAGAAGCCTTTGTAAAAGCCGCCCTTGCCCATGCCATAGCCATTCTTTCCGTTGCCACCCTTCTCATCTCCTGCACCGCGTGGTTGAATCACCAAAGCTGTGCAGCCGTCCCGACTCGTGCACGTCCTTTGTAGCCCCCCTTGCCTTAGCTTTGAGCAGAGAGCCCTAGCTAGGGATGATGAAGAAGGCCGACCAGTCGTGAAACTAAATGTCGCCGCCATACCTCATTATCAGATATCAATGCCATACGAAGTGCTCATCCGGCCCTTGCCCATCATCATGTCAGGGCGTCGGCCTGAGCCACACGTCGCATGGAAAACTTCGGGCCATGGCAGATGCTGAGTTCCAGGCGTGGGCCACGTTCTGCTAACGGCCAGCTGAGCACAGCAACAGCGACTTGTCTGCAGACACTGTGCTTCCTCACTGTAGTACCGATATCAGATGTCACCTGGAATCCACATCGAAAAAAGTGCTGCAGGCACCCCGACCTGCCCCCACAATAGTCTACGCGACAGTGGATCCTGATGTATTTCTTAGGTGTGTCCTGATGATGGATGCACTCTCAAGCTTGAAAACTGAGGCTCTGGCAGTATGACAAACCAACTTGACATGGCTGTTGTTCTTTATGGTTTGCCTGGTTTAAAACACGATTCTCTGACACCATTTCAATACACGTCTGTCGAAGAATCAAAGTGAAGCAGCCGCATTGCTGAAATACGATTTCTGACCTAATTTGTTGATGCGTATTTGCCGAAGCATCGCACAACCCAGTTGCATTCAACCGCGTATCAAAACTTTGGGTGTGCTAAACCGATACCAGTCAACCATCTCAAACCCTGTTGAAATCGTGAGAACAAAACAAACTTGAAAATCCCTTAAGATTCCCTCATTTGACTGCCATCCCCATTTTCGTGACTTTCGTGTCAGGGAGAAGAGGCCGCCACCCGTAGTCTCGCTTTCTCAGCTTGTCATCGCCATGACCATGATTGCCATAGCCCCGGAAGTCCTAGCTGCTAGCTAGTAGCTGTTATTAGATGCTCATCCCTTGCAAAGAATCGGAAATGTCACGGGTCCTGGGCGTAGGTCTCTGCGACCTTCTCCGAGGCGCCACGCCTGCACAGCGCAGCGCAGCACTTCGATGTTCTTCACAGGTTTCCCAGGTCTCCACTCCTCCGTCTGTCACGTCCGCCTCGGCTGCGGCCTCGGTTCACAGATTCCTTGTCTACAATCGTCATGACTTTCGATCAGGTCCTGCGAGTGCAACTGCCACACTGAGAGACTGAGATCACCGCGGTCTGACTCTGCCTCGGAAAACGCTGAAGCCAACACAGCTTGCTTTCCAGATCTTTCCAGCTACCGGCAGTACAAGTTTTTGGTGCCCCACGGGTGGAAGAGGCTTCACTGGCGGCCACCTTATGTTGCCCGACTTGCAGAACCCGAGCTACAGCAAAAGTGGCAACTGTGGTGCGACGTAGAACAACTGAGTCCAGCGGAGTTGGAACTGCAGAGTGCGGCAATCCCCGCAATGGGCAGCGAAATGCGTAAGGCGCAGACTGGACAGCAGGCTCGAGAGGTTTCTCTTCCTGTGCTGCAGTTATCTGCAGTTCCACAGTAACGGAGCAGGGAGAGAAGGAAGGTGGAGGGAGGGAACCTCGTAAGAAAAGCGGGTGAAACTGCTTTTGACAACCCTCGTCTAGAACAGAGCTTCAAAATATCCAGAATGAAAAATAGAATTGGGCATGGCCTTTCGTCAGGTGTTCGTTCTTTCCGCCATTCCTTCTCACAGCATCCTTGTTTCCTTCTCGGCCTGCCCACTCCGGTCTTTCTGTATGTCCTGCCTTAATTTGTCACGAACCTTCACCCCCTATGCTTACCTTAAGTTTTCTTGAAGGCGGTTTGCCAAATTTTGCCTCTTGACTAAGGCTCGGTCTCCGGCTAAGCGTTTTCTAGGTCCGACTCCCAACAACAAGAAAATCTTCCCGACATCCTCAGCATCCTATTCCAGTAAACGTAAACAAACTGAGCGGGCTTGGAATGAGGTGAGCATGACTCCCAAGCCTGTGACACGGCATAAGTACTTGCTTGCACGGTGCCACGCATTCACGCATCCCTGGGTGCTTCCCTGCCCGATCCACCCATGAGGCACGCGACATCCATGTCCGCATCAAATCTTTCGGACCGTCACTCCTGGCATGGCCTTGCCCTCGCAACTGAAATCAGCAAATCTGCGCAGTCGCAGCAGGATGCAAGAGCTGTGAATTCCGTAGTCCTCCTTCACGAGGGTCAGCATGCCCGGCCTTCCACTGTCGAAGCAGGGTCGGCAGATTTGTACAAGATGACGATGCACTGACCGACTGGGTGTGGCAATGGAAAGGCGATTGTAAGGGCTGAAAGAAGCAGATGGCATGCAGCGTGCCTTCAGTAGGTGGCAACGCTGCAACATGAAGAGTAAGGCAAAACTGGTTGTTGCAAGCTAATGAAACTTTGAAACCTTGCAGAATTATGGCCTAAACGGACGCCGAACTGTGGTGATGTGATACATTGCGACTCCGGCCTCTTCAAGGCAGCTTCCTTAACACGTTTCTCCTGGGGCAATGCAAAGTGGCGCTGGCTGAAGGGCCAACAACTTTTTGTGAGAGCTCTTGGCGCTGACACGGAATCAAGCGGAAGTAAACGGCATTGACTTGGCTCAAGTTGGCTCACATATGCTCACATACGCTTTCCTCATCATCGGCCCCAGGATCCGGCAGGTCTGCAAGAGCATCCTGCTCCGGCCTAGGCATTCGGGAGTAGGAACGCCGCGCGACGGGCTGCGGCTTTAGGCCAAGTAGCAGCTGCCAGAAGAAGGACATCGCCAACCACGGCGACGGCGCCTCGGCGTCACGGGCTCGCACTATCCCGCGAATCGGCCGTCGCATGTCGTGTTGCTCTGGTCTCTCTCTTCTTGATTCTCTCGAAGAATTTTCGACCACATTCGACCATACTTTCACGTCGGCATGCTCTAAGCCCAATGCTCTCTCTCTCTCTCTCTCCCTCTCTCTCTCGACGGGCGCCGACGGGCGAGGGGGCCCGAATTTCGCGGGGCCCAGGCGGCCGAGGTCCACGGAGCCGTGCCTGCTCACCCGCCCGCCCGGCACACGGAGCCACGCTGTGCCCTTGTGTGGCTGCACTCACCGTCAGCCCTACCTTGCAGACGGGCGGAAATCGGCAGAACCAGTTTGAGCCGAAACCAAGAAAAAGGCCGCTGGGCAAGTTCGCGTGGCTCATGCTTGTACAGCCTCGCATGCTGGACACATGAGGCTGAAGTTTCCAATGCGTCAGTGCCCAAGGAAAACTGCAGGACCTTTGGCCCAAGGCTGCTTTGAGACCTGACCTACAATAGAAATCAATAAACGTGGGAGTGCGGGCTTTCGACTGAGATGTGATCCTTGAGGGCGGGAGTTGGCTTAGTGCACCCAGCATCACAGATGTGCGCGAGGTCAGATGAGGAGACAATGGCAACTCGAAGAAGTGACAACAACCAAGTTCATGAACGCCTGCCGGATCGACTTGACCTGCACTGCCAAAGGATGCAAAAACAACGGAAGCCCATTCGGAACACATCGGAACTCATACACATCCACCGTCACCACACCTGGCGCCAGCGCGCTCTCGCGGGCCGCCTCAGTTCGGGGTTTCCACAGCGCTTCTGAGTCCTGCCGTCCCGTAAAGTACAGGCGACTCCCAACAACTTGCATGCGGTCGCAGGGGGCCTCTGACGGCTCTGGTGCGCTTTTTTCGCGCCTCAGTGACATCGGCAAAGTTAACAAATCGGCTCTCTGAGCTCATGTCCACCACGGAAGCAAGAAGCGTCGATTCAAAAGTTGCATCCTTTCATGCGCACTGACCTCCAGCGACTGCGGAGTCTGGGGACCCTGGCTTGGGCGGGCTTCTTCTCTTCTACGCAGAGGCCGACAGCCAGGCCGCACTCGTCACGAAAGACTCGCATGAGCCTCCAGAGGGGGTCGACTACACAACGCAACGTCGTTCATGAAGGCGGACAGATGTCGTGAACAGAATGCCGCTTTCTACGACATTAAACGTTGGCCTGCTCAGCACATGCTTACTCCAATCACACGGTCTGTGGGGCCTGGATGTGGAGAGCTCATTTGGGACTGAAGCGATGCCTTTGGGTAAGCAAATCCGTGTCCTCACAAGAACCGCTCTAAAATAGAAAGCCTGATCTCATGTAGTTTACCGTAGTTCATGCTTGGCATGTTGCTCTCTGACACACTTCACGTCTGAAAGAGTGTCGGTGCGGTTTCTCAGAACTTGCAAAAAGAGTGGTGTCTTTCGCTCATCTTTGTCAGCAGGCCTGCAAGACACGTCACCTGTTTAAGGAACATAAGCTGGACCTTCCACAGGTAACTCTGCGGGACAGAGAAGTTTATGCCAGGTTCGGTAGGCTCTGGAGCAGGTCCAGCAACACAAACCTGTGCTTCCGCATATATCAAGTCGTTCTTTCCAATTGTTCTTATTCGACAATCTGCCGATTTGCGTCAGCGTGCTTGCCCTGTCCACATGCGCTATCATGCGCTTAATGCTTGAAGGCGGTCTACTAGGCCTGCATGGTGAAAGAACAAACCCGATCAATCCGCATCCTGATGCAAGATCTGGCTTAGCATACCCGATTCTTTTCAATGACCAAGAACACAGAGCGCACTCTCTGGCAACTGCGAATTGCGCACGTGAGGAGCTGACACGACGAGAATACACACCGTCGTTCCGGAAGGAATCAAGAAACTGCGGCTAAATCTTGCCTTGAAAAGGGTTCAAGGATACGCCCTGTACCGGCTTCGAGGAGGTTCCCTCATCGTCGGACTCGTGGTGTCGGTAAGTCAGCAGCTTTCTCTTTCCGAAGGTGCGCCCTCGACAATCCTGCAGAAACAAAACTGAAATTACTCTAATTGAAATACATGACTGGCATGTGCTCTTCGACTGGCCGCAAATCTACGTGAGTTAAACAGTGTGTGCAAGTTGCATAAGCTGACTCTGAACATGCTGTCAACATCTGTCAATCCGACCAGCGCCGGTTGAATCCGTCCTTCCAAATAAGATCTGCCCCGTCGGCCAACAGCTCCTTTCAGACTCCCGTGACTCACAGTGACAGCAACAGCTGGTTCGCAGCTGCTACTGTAGCAACCTGATCAAGGCGGAACGGGTCTCATGCTTCAAAGCCAAGGTACCGAAAGCTTCTGGTCCACTGGAATTGGTGCCCAAAAGTCAGGCTTCCTTAGTAGCTTCGGTGATTGGCTGCCAATGCCTGCCATATCTACGAGTTTCGGCGCCTTGGGTGCTGGGTGCCTCTGTGGCCGCTTGATGCCTCGAACTCCTCAAGCCACTTGCTGCGAAATTCACGCTGCTTGCATCGCCATGTGCTAGTCTCTACTCATGTGCAAACATGTGTCGACCCTAAACCCTGAAGCCTCAACCGTTTCGAGTGTCCCCTCTGGTTCCGGCTACGAAATGGGACGGAAGCAGCCCTTTTGGAACCCTGGCGACCTCGCGGTTCTGGAAAGAGCCGGACTTCAACAGCGAATCTGTGCAGCAGAGACAAACCTGCTTTCGTCTCTTCCGTCCCTAGGGACAAGCTTTCGGCAATGTCAGAATTTGCATGGCGCATTCAACAGAAGTGACAGCTGATCTCTTCACCAACTGCTCGGCGACCAGCACAGCCTCACTGGGCGCATCGGAAGTCGCCAAAGCGCTGGCTCTGACCAGCCTTGGCCGGCTTCGTTGGCCCTTGCTGGCGACGATGAAAAAGGCGTTGTCGATGTGAAGGTCGTTGAACGCCCGAAGTGCTTCAGTTTCCACCTCCTCAAACGGCTGTCAGGAACCATCCTCGTGGTGAAAACGGGGAGGTGAGTCCCTCCGACTTCAGTTCATCTAGCAACCTAAAGCCACTCAAGAACTCGGTTGGCCTCCGTCGCTGGAGATTCAAGCAGAAGGGGGGTTTCGAAGCTCACCTTGTCTAGATTTGTCGTTGATGTTGTCCAAGACGTTTCCCGGCTATTCCCGGCTTGTCGAAGGCATGCTCACATACTGAATATCATCTTCGCCTCTAGGACGAAGCTGCTTCCGGCACTCTCGACCCTTCTGTTCCAAACCTTCGCCGGCTGTCGTACCACTCCATGCTGGCATAAAAAAATCTTGCAGCATGGCTGCAACCCAGGTTTGAAATTCACTTGGCGGCCCAGCTGCCACCAAAGGTTGCACGCCCAAAGTTGCACAGGGAATCGAGAAGGGCTAAACAACCTCGCGAAGCGGCCTCAAATGAAGAACTCTCTTGATTGTCGCACTAGACAGACACAGCAGCTGCAAAGCAAGCAAGGGAGCCGTAGAGCTCAAAGGCAAGATTCTCAATGAAGCGGCCACTAGTCAAGGCCAACGGATGTCAGGAGGGGAACAGCCGCAGTCACAAATCATTAGAAACAGCTCTCGCGCAAACACCCCACAAGCTGTCAGCGATGTCCCACCCCATTTCACATGTGCTCACAGATCGGTTCTTCCACAGCAAGTACAGCGATGAAGGAAAGGGGGATGCTGCGCGGCTGAGCGGCCCTACTCTTGTGAGTCCGGACCACTAATGCGAGACCCAACAAAATCCGCCAACGCAGGACGCCAATGCGATGATTGAAGAAAAGGGGTGCAAAGCCACTGCAAACGGATGAAATATGCACCGAATCTTACGAGCCTTCCGTCGTCTCAGGCCCTGGCAGCTGACCCAGCTTCACTTTGGCCTGGCAGCTCGTGGCTAGGCACGTCAATGGTGCTCCTCCCAGCACCTCCACCGGAGGAGGGAAGCCATGGCGGTACAGCATCTTGAGAACTGCCTTGCTGCAAGATCGAGCTCTGAACGGTGCCGCCGCCCAGCAGTGAGCAGCAGATGCAAAAAGCTGATCCGCAACGCTGCCTTTTGGTGCTCCCGGTCCTGCAAAGCAAAGGTTGCCATATGTGATGGCACTTCTGCTCATTGTGAGAGCCTGGTCTCCATACCTGGCCCAGCTGGCCAGCGATCGGCCAGACTCGTCGCGGATGTTCACGTCACACTGCCAGGTGAGAAGGTCAGAAAACATCACTAGCTGTGTTATGGTTTTGGGTCATCATCTAGAGCCTAAATAGCCGCATGCTCCGACAACCCCAACTTAAGCAAGACTTACTGCTCAATTTCACTAGTACCCTCGCGCGGAAAGGCGGAAGCAGGGGTTCTCTCTCTGGGCAGCATGTCGGATCTACCCACCAGAAGCATGGTGCACATCGCGAGAAATAAAGATTTGCATAAACTCCCACATGTCAGTTATTGTTGTCGACACCGAGCTTCACACGCTGCACCTAGTCACGCTTCGTGTGTCCGCATGCGTGCACCACGCCATTAGCACATGGCACTTATCTTCTTGAGATTAGGCGATGCACGCCACCACCATCACACTCGCTGGCCGCCTGTGCGTGTATGAGCGCTCTCATGACCTAAGATGTGGCTCAACCGTGAGAGTCCACAAGCACCCGCCGTCCAGGATCGATCCAACTCAGACGCAGGCATCAAAGTCGCAGTAGAAAGCAGCAAAGAAGATTGGAGGCCAACCTGCTGGAGTCACTACATGCTGTTCAATAGCCGCATCAATAGCCCGTGGCGAAGCACTGCATACTTCAAAAGGCACAAACAAGGTGGCTAGGGATGCTTTTCAAAATGCGTCTATGAACATGGCCTCCTGGACCGATCGCATCCATGTCAGCGGAATGCTCTAACAAAGCCTGTCGCTGCACAGATAAGAGTCGTTAAGCTCGAGGCTTGTGCTTGTAGAAGTCGCTCTCCAAACGCCGCTTCACTGTTGTGTTTTGCCACGCAAACAACCATGCATTACGGATCCACAGACTCAAATGCAACACGTTCCCGGACATGCTACAAATACTTGTGTATGCATGCGAAAAAAACGTTACTACTCACCAAACACTAAACATTACGTCCGGCGGGAAAATGATTCATGTTAGGGTCCCAGTTAGGGGTCATTTCGTTAATATTCCCTAAACTAATTAGTCTTGGGCCAAACGTTCCCCGAAAATAATATTCAATTCCCGAATAGCTTTATTATTACGTAGAGAGAGGAGATTAACGACATGTCTGCAAGTTTGGACTACCGAGCTTCCTGTAAACTCTGCTGCAGCGTTTTGGATCCACACAAAGCAACCGATTACTCTGGGTGTCGCGCCATCGCGACGGATGTGGCCTCCTGCGAGACCCAACGTCTAACGACACGAAGTGGAGCAGAGTGCGGACCCTCCTCTGATTGCAGTACAAGCATGACCACGCTTAGTTCATTCTCGCATGCAGCTGCTAGATGCTAGATCATGCAGATATGCTATACAGTACATGTAGTTTGGAGCTCACATTCTAGGCTAGAATCGTCGGAACATTATGTGCTTGGCAGAAGGACCGTGTGATCCTCAGGAGCTTGCAAGATTGCTCCTTCCGGCCGTGCCGATGGACGCTGTGCAGCTCATCGCGAGCTGGCTGCTCAAGGCACACAGGGCATGCGCACCCGGACTGTGGCTACGGAGTATTGGTTCGTAATTGAATGTGATCCTACAGCTGAGGAGCTGAGGGAAACGGACCTAGTGACGGAACGAGTCCAATAAAGAAGCCAGCATAGAGGACCAAGAACACCAGACGATAATTAAGCGCACAATGGTTTTTTTTGGAAGGTTTGGCCCAAAGGGTTCCCAAACGGTTTTTAGAAGGCTTGGCCGAGGGTGTTTTTAGAAAGTTTGGCCGAGGTTTGCGCCGAGTTTGATTTGCAGCAAGCTATTGGGGAAGTAATTGCCATTTGTAGGGTCTTCTATGGTTTTCTTTTGCAGCAAGCTATTGGGGCAGTCCCATTTATGGGGTCTTCTTTGGCAGCAAGCTGTTGGGGAAACCGATGTTTTTGAAAGCAAGCCTGCAACCACGAGCAAATTATCACGGGTTCTGAAAGGGTCCATCTGGGTTTTGTACCTGCGAGCGAGCGTGCACGGTTTTGACAAAAAAGGGGGGAGGGGGGCTCCCCATTGTCAAACATGTAATCTGATGGATTTTGAAAGGCTCTACAAGAGTTATGTGTCTGACGCATTCTATTTGATGGCGCGATGTTCTTGAAAGCAAGCCTGCATGGTTTAAGAAGAAAGCGCGGGGGTGTTGGGGGGGGGTGAGTTCTGTTTTCGCTGGAAGGATGATACTTGACGCGAGCTTCACGGCTAGAAAAGCAGTAGTACTAAAAAATTTTAAAAACATGTCATAATCGTGATAGTAGGAGTAACACCACTAGTAGTCATAAAAACTAGTGATAATGGTGATGCAATCGCCTTAATCGAAGTAATACTGAAACTCAAAAAAACAGTAGGCCAGCCAGTGGACACGGGACCGCGGGGAGGAACGCAGGATCTAGACACCAAGCAGCAGGACCGGGACCGGGACCAGAGGCCCTAGGGCGAATCAAACTTTGGCCAAACTTTCAAACCTTTCAATACCTTCTAAACAAAAGAACGCCGGACCCGCTGCCAGACGGATTCAAATTCTGACAAGCTGAGACCACCACTGTCTGCGATACAGCACCTCGGACGGGCAAATGGCCGAACCATCCAAACTAACGAAAGCGGGCCAGCAACCTTCCCAAACCGAAAAAAACTCCGTTCGAAGCGACGATCGCTGCGCGTGGCGCAGCTCAATACAGTCAGTCAGGTGTGTGTGTGTGTGTGTGGGTGTGTGGGTGTGTGGGTGTGTGGGTGTGTGGGTGTGTGGGTGTGTGCTTGTGTGTCTGTGGGTTTGCGTGTTTGCGGGTGTGTGCGGGTGTGTGCGTTTGTGTGCGTTTGCG